AGCTAACTGGGAGTGAGAAAGACACCAAGACTTGTTTGGAGGAAAATCTTTAATAGATTTGAAGCTGTGGAGCAAAATGTCTGCAAACAGAAGCAACCGACTGTCAGGAATCCGTTGACATTCAGCTGAGGGGAAATGATGAGGAACAGGAAATGACACGGGGAACATGCAAAGACCCGCCCCCTCAGTATCTGTAGGACAGAGAAAGCTGCCCCATCCTCACAGGGGGGACAAACAGGCCCCCCAGCAGCAACCTCTCCCCCCACTCCAGCAGCTTGTTCAGGGAGAGGCTGAACGGGGACAGCGGGCCCCGCACCTTCACTGGGCTTTGGCTATGGCAGGGGCCCCTGAGCACCTCCTCTGGCTGCGGGGCCCCTGCAGACTGAGGACTGCTGCTGGCCAGAGGGGGGGTGCAGGTCCCCAGGGGCCTCAAAGAGAGGGAGAGGCTTTTCCGTCTCTCCAGGAGGGAAGCAGTACCTGATGGGAATTGTAGACATGTGCTTTGGGCCTCATGAGGGCCCCTGCTGCACTGGTGGTTCTGATCCAGAGTCTGTGGCCCCTGCTGCTTCCCGCTGTCATGGAGTAGTGAGCATCTGGGCTGTGACGGGTCCGCAGAGACGGACTGACTCAGATAGTTCTGGTTCTGACTGCACAAAGACCTGCTGACTGTCTCATCCGCCGAGGGCCCCTGGTTCTCCTGCTGCCGCGCCATCGGGTCGCCGCCGGGGCCCTTCTGGTTGAGGGTGCTTTGGAAGAGCTGCAGCTGTCCCAGGAAGTTGAAGTTTGGGGAAATGGTGGGTCGGCGCTCTTTGACAAACCTTATAAGGAAACAGAGAGGAAGTGGGTCAGAGCTGCTAGTGGACCGCATTTCACACATGATGAGTCATTTCTGCTCCGCAACAACAGCAGGGCGAGAATGAAAGAGACAGAACCAGGAGCCCTGCAGCGGCTCCGGGGCCCACACGGGTCCAACACTTACTAGCATCAAAGCTTTACATTTAGCTTAAATGCAGGAACGGAGGACAGAAAGGGGACAGGGGAGGACAGAAACAGGCAGGATGGGACAGAAACAGGCAGCTGCTGAATGTCTCACTTTGTGAGACATTCAGCAGCTGCCGCTCAGATTGAGCATGAAGACAACTTCAGAGACAGTCTGAGCAACATGGAGGTCATCTGGAGCGATCTTCCTCTGCTCTTGTTGCAGTGTTCATGAACCTCTGAAGATCCTCCAATATGGCCACCAAACATCAGGCCTCTGAGCTGCTTTCCTAAAGGCTGGCACCAGTAGAAACCCCCGGGTCCAGGGTTCTATTTAATTGATCGGTCTGAAGAAGCAGGGTTAGGTCAGCTCCTGATTAAAAGCTCCACTGGATCAGAGGTTCTGTAGATGTCTGATCCAGTGGAGCAACAAGGAGGCCTCCATCCCCCATTTATGGCTCCAGATGTCCTGAGTCAGGACCAGACATCTGCTCCTGTCCACAAAGACACTGGACACACTGGGAACCAGAACCTTCTGGGTTCTGTTCCTCCTAAAGACTCACTCAGAACCAGCATGATGCTACCAGGAGGAAGGTGAGAGTGACGCACCTGTAGGCGTGGTCCAGGTCCATCTCCAGGCGGTACATAACGTAGGCCACAGCCAGAGCCGGGGAGCGGGAGATTCCTGCGGCACAGTGGACCAGAACCGAGGCCCCCGAGGACATGGCTGCATCTGCACACAGCAACGGGCCAACGGGTCAGAATTCAGAAACACGGCGGCCAAGAAGCAGATGTTTGGTTCCTGACCTATGAAGCTCAGAGCCTGAGGGATCCAGGGCAGCAGCTCGGCCCTCAGTGAGTCATCGATGGGGATCCGCAGGAACCGGGAGCCCGGCAGGAAGGAGGGCTGGGGGCTGCATCTGCTCACGCTGAGGACGTAGGAGATCCCCAGAGCGGCCAGGCGGTCCTGCAGAGACACGTTCTCCTGTAAGTCCACCCTGGTTCCTCTGGTGTTCCTCTGGTTCATGCAGCAGGTGTTAGTTTGTCTGCAGATGTTTCCTCAGAGCTGCTGAGGTTTGGATGGTTCTCCATGAAAACCTCCTCTAACTTACATCTGCAACTTGTCATTCATAACTGGAACATTTCCAAATGCAATGAAAATAGCGAAGGTTATTCCTCTATTTAAATCTGGAGATAAGCATACTATTAGTAATTATAGACCTGTGTCCCTTCTGTGTCAATTTTCAAAAATACTAGAAAAGGTGTTTAGATAATTTCATTGAAAAACAAAACATTTTGACAGATTGCCAATATGGTTTCAGAGAAAACCGATCATCAACAGAAGAAATTATAGACAATATGGATAAAAAGAAATTGCAATTGGTGTATTTCTGGATCTCAAAAAAGCTTTTGATACCATCAATCATGACATGTTAATAAAAAAACTGGAAAGGTTTGGAATTAGAGGGGTGGCATTAAACTGGCTTAGGAGCTACATTGGAGAAAAGAAACAATTTGTAGAAATAGATGGTCAGAAATCAGATCTACTAAAAATAACTTGTGGAGTTCCGCAGGGATCAGTTTTGGGACCCAAACTGTTCAATCTTTATATAAACGACATAGTTAAAATATCAAATCTTATAAAGTTCTTTCTATTTGCTGATGATAGAAGTATCTTCTGTACTGGAGAAAACCTTCAACAACTTTCAGAAGTGGTCAACACAGAAATGGAAAAATTACAGCATTGGCTCAAAAACAATAAATTATCAGTAAATTTAGATAAAACCAAATTCATGATATTCGGAAACAATAAAAAACAGGAAAATAAACCAATTAAAATATCAACTGAAAGTGTTGATTTAGAACAAGTACATGAAATAAAATTCTTGGGTGTCATTTTAGACGATAAGTTTAGCTGGAAACCTCAGATCAGCCTATTTAATCTAAAATAGCCAAAAGTGTTGCTGTTATAAGAAGAATTAGTTTCGTCCTGGATTACAAAACTTTATTTATTCTGTAAAACACACTCACTGTACCACATTTAACATACTGTGTGGAAGTTTGGGGGAATACATACAAAACAAATTTACAGCCATTATACGTTTTACAAAAGAAATCAATCAGAATACTACATGAAGTGGGATACCGGTACTGGGAACAAACCAGTTATTTATCTAATCTAATATACTGAAATTCTGGGACCTGCTAATATTTAGAACTTCACAATTTATGTTTAAGGTTCGAAATCAGAAACTTCCACACAATATACAGGAAATGTTTGGTGACACAGAGGGGGGGGGTTATGATCTAAGAGGTGAAGGATACTTTAAAAAAAAACACTTTAGAGTAAATGTCTGGAATGGATTGAATGACGAGTTTAAAAAAATTCAAAATGCAAACCAATTTAATAAACTGATTAAAACCGAGCTCATTTCAAAATACGCTATATAAGATGACTGTTTAATAGTCTATAATGTAACTGATGACATAAATAGAACTTAAAATAATTGTACATGGCTAAACATCATGTGGAATGGAAACATTGGTTTTTTTGGTTTTTTGACATTTAATTGATGATAAATTGACAGGTAGGAAAGGGGCGGGACATTATAAGATGGATCTTCTACCTGCTCCTTTTCGAACAGAAAATATAACATTTTCACGTCACATCGGCAAAATAATCTGTTTTACATTTTCATTCTTAAGTTTGTTTCATTCAAATTTTTTTTCTTTCTTGATTGTTTTTACTGTCTGTTGTAAATAAATAAAATAAATAAAAACTTTAAAGATCAATAAACAGCTGGAGGAGGACCTCTGAGAAGCTCCACTGTGTTCTGACAGCTGCCACCCTGAAGGTCTGGAAGCACCTGGACTGGTTGGGGTTCTTACCTGCGTCACGTCGCGCTCCGCTCCCAGGTAGAGCCGCGGCAGGATGATGGACAGCGGGGGCCGCTCTGCTTCAGGGTCCTGGAACCAGACCATCTGCAGGGTCACAACAACATCTGGATCACATCTGCTGCCAGATCCTCCATCAGGTTCTCAGAGCCACTTCTGCAGGTTCCTCTGCATGAACCACAGGAGCTCCTAAAGCTACTCACTGTGTGTGGGAGGTTCTCTCCTGGATGCTCCTCTCTTCTCTCACTGCTGCCCCGCTTCTGAGCGATGAGCTCATCCCATCTCCAACAATAGATCGGTTCTGGGTGATGTCATTTTCAGCCAATCAGGTGCCACCAGCCACGCATGCGCAGTGCCTCTGTGGCAGCAGGAGGATTTCTGCTCCTCCCGATCATCTTAAAGTTTGGATCTTCTGGATGCAGGGCGGTTCTTTTGATCTCACCGCTCGGACCGGAAACCCCTGACTTTGATGTTTATCAGCTAAAGTCTTACCGAACACGTAATGTAGTGGCGCCATCTTGGGGCGGTCGCCGGCTGCGCTGTGTGATGTGTTGAGCAGGAACAGAATACATTTTGTTCAATTTTAACTTTCTGATAACAAGACTGTTTTTTTTTTTTTTTTTTGCTGAAAGCAAACAAATGGTTCTGTTTATTTAATTATTCTGAATAGAATATTGAGAATATTAAATATTCTGAAATAAAAACAATTATAAAAAAATAATCTATTTCTATATACACACACATTTATAAAGGTATACACAGATATATAGACACACATCCCTCACTTCAAACACACATATTCCCATTAATTTTCAGTAATTTTCAACCCTTTCTATGCCCTAATCCTAAACCTAAGCATTACCAATGCATACCTCACCCTAACACTGACACCTTAGCCCTAACCCTAACCATTAGCACAATAGCAGGACCGGCAAAATGTCCTCACTTTGCAACAACTGGTCCTCCATTTGATAATGAAATTGGAAAAATGGTCTTCACTCCGAGCTTCTCTAAATCCTACTTACTGTAGGTTTGAGTGTGTGTGTGAATAATTGTTTGTCCTGTTTGTCTCTGTGTTGACCTGCGATGGACTGGAGACCTGTCCAGGGTGGACCCCCCCCCTCTCACCCGCAGACAGCTGGAGATAGACACCAGCGCACTTGGGATTAAGCGTGTCAGAAAATGGATGGATGGGTCCTCACTCTGGATAAACAGGTGTGTACACACACTATATATATATATATATATATATATATATATATATATATATATATATATATATA